ATTTCAGTCTCGATGGGTGGGCAGGTGCTCCCAAGACCCGACTATTAGTACACAAGCAATTAGTCAAAGTCAAAAGTCAATTTTCCATAATATGTTCCCCTTAAGACTTAATAAACTGCTGTAAATCATTAGAAAAGAGGCAGTGATAATAACAGCTGGTGATTAATCCTTCCTCACTGATTCAGAGGAAAGGGAAAGCAGATTTTAATGTGCGACACCGCAGGTACGTTCTTGTTTTTGGCAGGTGTTGATCTGCCGCCTGGCCTGTGTCGATGGACCCTCTGACCTCTGCGTGATTTCTGTTTCTTATGTTTAGGATGTATGATCGTTCTTATGCTATTTCACCATTTCAAAATTCCCCCATAACTCTTCCAAAACTTAACACATAAGAGTTTTGACAGGGACCTGTGCAAATGTGGTGGAAGCACAGCCAGTTCTTAAAACTGCTTGAAATTCACCCATGAACACCATCCATGCTGCTCCATAAAAATATACATTGACAAGACGTGGGCTCTTTCACCGTTTCAAAAATTCCCACCTCATCCTTCAGGGACCTACCAGACTCTAATCTATAAAGCAACTCGGCTGGCTGATAAATCAAATCCGTCACTGAGGAGATGACGAGTAAAAACACAAGCAGGTGAGACATCTGGATGACAACAGCTCTGTCACAAATGCTGTCCACAATCTGCCACTTTATTTCCACTTAGATCTTGACTCGCCGGCATTGTTGCAAGTGTCAGGGTAGCACAAGAGTGGCTTTTAAAAAAATGTACGTGACAGCTTTCGCACACCGAGAATGTTCGCTGTTATTATAAACAGCATGGTGTTGATAAGGGCCACCCTGCTGGGTAATGGGGTAAAGTGTAATTTGCATGAACAGAAAATATGAATATGGATGAAGTGCAACGCTATGTTTTGGATGTCAGTATACTAATTCGTCCATCCATTTTCTGTAGCGCTTGTCCTCATTAGGGTGGAGGGTGAGCCGGGAGCCTATCCCAACTAATGTGAGTGAAACGGAAACTACGCGCTTGCCTCTATTTTGGCTTCTCACGACCATGAAAGCATCATGATCAAAGAAAAATGATGAAGCGGCACAAGTTCCTACGTTGTCAAGGCATCCTGAATTACAGCATGTTGCTGTGCAGCAAGCAAATGACGTGTATGCGATTCCGTCCTCCCTGAGTATGCTTTAAGTAATGCAGCAATTAAAGGTGTGGATAAAGCAAAATGAAAATAATCGACAGATTCATCGATTATTAGAATAATGGTTAGTTGCAGCCCTAAAATGAAAGCAGTCACCTTGAGTCACTGAATCTGTTGGTTATTTACATTATTTCAGGTTTCCTGAAAATTTTATCGAAAATCTCTGATAGATTTATGAAAAAAAAAAAATCTGTTCTTTTCTCAGGATCTCACCTTCTTGGGGGCAAAGATATTGCGCTTTAGTCGGTCCACCAGCTCAGGGCCAGAGGTGGACCACGCTTGAGAGAACGCTTCGGCCTTATCGGGGTTCATGCTGATCCCCTGAAGCTGCTGCTGCAGGGAGGATGGCTTCGCATTATGGTACACCGCCTAAATGGGAGCCAAACAAGGGTGAGAATGACTCAAGTCGGCAGCGAAAGTGCAACAGTGAACCCTGCTGGACAAATGTGAACATTGCATGTGTCGCCAAAACTAAAACTCCTCCAGCATTGTTCATAAAATATTAATGTGGGCAACTTTTCACTCATAAACAATTCTAACAAGCATTGACACACACATTCAAACCTCAGGACAATTTAGACTCTTTAATTCACTGGCCATTACATAACATATTACTATGAATTACATTTAAACATACAGTGGTGACTAATTTTACTGCTGTACTGATGAGTTGAGAGGAGTTGGGACGTCTCAATTAATAGTAGTGTATATCTGTCTGTCTCTAAGCCTGCCTGCCACCAGGTAGCCAAGGTCGGCCGACCAGAATGAGCAGTGCCGTGAACTCTGTGAATTTCTATTCAATTATGACATTACTGTACATTTTCAGCAATAATATAGAGTTTTGATTTTTTTCATTAAAATACAAATGCACATTCTTACAATTTATTAACACTAATGTGGTAAAACAGATGTCACATGACCGTCCCTTACCTGCTCAAGAATGAAAGCGGACGTTTCCAGGACTAAGTTGAGAGCCTGTTTGTCCAGTGAAAGAGCCGTTTGAAGTTTTTCCTCTTCCTCTTTGCTAAATGTTCGTTCTCCCTGCAAAGAAAAGCCAAAGTAGATGATTAGCATCCAGCCCACCATGAAGTTATTTTAAGATATTTATGGGGCGCCATCTTAATAACACTGACATTTTAAAAAGGATGAATGTGGCTTTGACCACATCGATTATGGGACCTTAAATCTTGAACGCATTAATTCCTAAATCTTGGATCTTGAGCAAAAATGTGTCTTAAATGCAAAATCTGGACATGGAACCGCAGTATGTGTGTGTTCTTCGCCAAATGGACAGTGGCTGACTCCATTTTGGTACAAACTCAAAGCTCCTCGTGGTCGTAGGAACACAGACACACAGTAACTGCAAAAGTCCTACAGCCCCAATAATCCCTGCTCATTAAAAATCCAAAGCCAAAACGCTGCAATAGTACAAACAACCCAGCACAACACAAAAAGAGTGGAACGTGTAAAACAAGGGATCTGTCTGAAAACAGGCTGTCAGTGAAGGCGCACACAACAAGTGCCAATACTCCCTGCCAAAGAATGTCTCAGTCCAAAACAATAAAAACAGTCCAAAACAGCTTAGCGTGACACACAAGGAAAACAAAAAGACAAAAAAGTTGTGTTTTAGGATTGATGTAAAGGTGCTTTTATTAGTTAAAAAATGTCTTAACAGTCTTGGGCAATCTTATTTATCTGACCTGCTTTTACCATGTCAACCATCGCAGATCCGGAGGTCCTCTGGCACTGGCTTTTTAAATATTCTTAGGGTGAGGACCAAAACATATGGTGAGGCTCCATTCAGCCATTTTGGTTCCCAGCGATGGAATAAACATTAGTTCCACAGAGACTGTTGATGTTTTTAAGAAGAGGCTTAAGGCACATCTTTTTAGCTTGTATTTTCAATAATTTATTTATGTACTTATTTTAATTCTTTTATTTATTTACTTTTTTTTTTTTTTTAAGCGCCAATGTTTCCTCTTGAGAAGCCTCCACCCTGGGAGGTGTGACGGCTGTCACTCACATGGACCATCACTACTGATTCTGAAGATTAGATTGAAATGGCAACACATAGAGGCTGAAATCTGATTAGACAGGGGGGAAAAAAACATATAATATTCATCTACATATAGCGGAACCAGTGCAGCTAGAACAAACACGACAATGGTGAGGATAGACTGTCGGGGATAAATTAACAAAAGTCAATTTGTCAAATATTAGACCTTAAGTTAACTCTGACAGTGGGTAGGCTGGAAGAGAAGGCCGCTGATTCAATCATTGCCTGTACTAATACTAAAGGTAGCAGTGCCAAAAGTCACTTGTCTGTTGACATGAATTCCATATTGAGCTGATCATACCTTCAGATGAAGCTTTTGGATGATGCGAGAGATCAATCTGGAGAACTTGTTCACGTCTATGGCATTGATGAGAGTCACCGCTTCCTTGATGCTGATTAGAAAAAGGCAAGAAGCCAGCATGGATGATGTTGGGAGTACTATGCACAGTGCTGGGATCTTTTGTAGCCGCAAGAGTGGCGCGGGGTAGACATGCTGAAAATTTGAGTATTTCAATTCATGACAATGGAGAAATGGGTTTGGGGATACTCGTGTTGTGAGATCGAAGCATGGTATGATACAACATAATTATCCGGAGCTAAGCAAAGCGGGCATGGAGAGTCAGCACATCCCCGTTATGTCGTGCTGGTTTTTATTCATCTACAGACTGTCTACTTATGTTCCGTTTTAAGTGCAGTGCACATGTTGAGCTATCACGTTTCATGACATATGGAACGTTGGACTTTGTTGTAGTAAAGCCACTGATATGTTTGATTTGATAGCTTGAAGGCTAGCTACGACTGGCGTTGCTCTTCAATTCGGAATCTGAAGTGGAGAGGAAAAGCGACAACAAACCTCTGTGTTTCTTTAATAATTGAAGCCATTGTACTCCCAGCAAATACAGGGATGAGAACCAAAGTGGCAAAGGAGTCACGGCATCCTATATTTGTAGTCACTTTCTTCCTGGTGTCACAAGATGCTTTCGTGACTGTCAACGCTGCGCAAGGATGCCTCAGGATCCGGAAGTGTGATACGTCGAATAAATGTAATAAAAGCAATAATTTAAGTTTAAATTCGGCTTTTATAACTATTTTACTCATTTAAAATAATAATAAACGAATAGGTGTGTATTATTAATTATTTTTTTTAATCGTGTATTGCGTAAAATTGCGCAATATGACTTTCTGAAAACGTAACTACGGAAACCGCAAATGAACAAGCAAAACGGAAAGCGTGATTGAAAATCCTACAATTTTACGACCTGCTTATAGGAAAAGGGGTGCCTAAAATAAAACTGCTAATTGCCTAATAATTCAATCAATAGCGTCGTGGTGACCCTTTTTTGGCCCTAACTTTCTATGGCTGTATGGATTGTCGTAAACTTTTGTTCACTGAAACAATAATAAAGACCTAAGCACCTAACTTTGTTTTAAAATAACTTTTTGTCAAAATTTTTCAGGTACGTCTCTTCACTCGCAACAATGTAAATGATATATGTAAATGACAGATTGTCTTTGAAGTACATTCAGTTAAATATAGGTCAAACATGATTTGTAAATCATTGTATTCTTTTTTTATTTCTTTAACTCAACATCCCAATGTCATTGGAATTAGGTTTGTAATCAAATCATTTTAGCCTGTCTGGCATTAGGACCAGACAGGGACACTGTTAAAACTGGTAGAGTGTATTTAGCATAAGGGTGACCAAAAAAGAAAAAAAAAGTGAAAACAAGCTTGTCAGTTTCAACTGTTTATTGTGTAGTAAAAGAAGAGGCAGGCAAAATTCATGAGCAGAATAAAATTAACAGAAAACTAATCATTTCAACAGAGACAAAATATAAATTGAGGATAGATGATCAGAATTCTGTGAGACAGCAATCAGCAATATTATAATCTTCAAAGTTTTGTTTGGTTTCACACGCACTGCAAAGGATGCATTTTCCAACACTATTGATCCTGACTGTTCCCATTACTTTTTTTTTTTTTTTTGGCATAAGCAACTTACAACACTTCAATCAATCTTCATATCTTCTCAGAAAGTAAGTAAACACTCGAGTTGGTGAAATGACTTCAGTTGGACTGAGATGGCTTTAGCAGCTGAACGTCATGAGGGGAGTAGGAATGTACCGTGCACAAATAAATACTTTATTTTTCAACAGAATAGATAATTCATTTTAAAAAAAATTGTAACAGAACAACAAATGCATAAAATAATTTTCTGAGCAAAACAAAGCAGACCAAGATGTTTTTTTTTTTTTTTTAAATCACACAGTACTTCCATGATTGGATAAAACAAGTTAGTAAGAGGTTATGGTAAACAGATTGCATCACGTTTAAACATTGGGCGACATCTCCAGGCAGCGGGTCATCGGAGTGCCGCTATTTGAAGGATGGCAAATTTGGCACTTTGATGCTGATGTCGCCAATGTTGATGTTTCTGGGCATTTCCGGGAGGTTCATGTTCTTTACTGCTGATACGGCACGAGCGGGCGCTCCTGCAATACCAGCCTGTGCACACATAGACACACATTATCAGGATTACACAATGCATCATCAAACAGTTACATTCAACGGTGGACACGAGAGACAAAAATAACCACTACACATTACTCGACAAGACTGTTGACACAATGCCAAAGCACCGAAGACTACCATGACACGCGTGTGCGTTATGTACATTCAGATGCCGTCATAGCGTCGGATGCACATGCAGTTTGCGGTGCTATGTTGGTACAACCCAACCAGAGCCAATTTTGAATCCACTGTGAGAGTCATTCACTACTTTGGATGAACTGGAGTGGGACGTTGGTCAAGCATTGCTCAGAGTGAACCCACCGGACTCTTGAGAGGCCCAAAGACAGAATTGGGTTATGGGTTTGGAAGTGAAGACTGAAAAGGGATAGTGTTTTGAATGAAATGCGGAGGTGGGGGTGGGGGGGGGGGTCATTAGACAGTATTACATTGGATGTTATACAGCGCTTATTTGCCAGCTACCTGCATTTTTTTGTGGATGCAGGAACAAAAAGACTGCAGTTAAAAACAGGTGGATATTGATGACATGGGGACATGGGCGGGAGTTGTAAAGCTAGCACTCAACTAGACGGACTGGAAGATCTGCTCTGTGGACAGAGGTGGCAAGTCACTCTAACACAGTGAGTCTCAACTGGAAGAATTTATAGCAGTGTTTCCCTGTTTGGACCAGTGGGGGCACATCGAACACATCGCATAAAAAAATTCTTGACTAAACTACTGCTTTATATAAAACTGAACTGTTCTGGCTGTCACTATACATGGCATAGATAGATGAATGATGATATTTTTAACAACAACAAAAAAAATCTTCCACGGCAGACCTGACAGTCTATCAAGTTACACCAATGTGCTGCGGCACAGTGATTGGGAATCACTGACTTAGAGGTTTGTTGATGGAAAAAAAAAAAAAAAAAGAATTCCTCATCATCCAAATTTGAGAATCACTGCAAATTGAGATTCCCCCCATTGCGAATCTTTTACGCAAGACAGACCCAAAAGTGACCGGTCACTTGTGAACAAAGCTGCACATTCATTGCTCGGGATCTGCCATGTTAGGAATGTACGTTCCCCCACTCGGCTCACTTTCCCATGGAGCCGTGGTCATGCGTGCGCTCGGCACACAGGCCCAGTCGATGACATTTGGCGTCATGGTACCGACTGTTGAAATCCTTTCGAATGGGACGTAATTGTAGAATGACTCAAGATTTATTATTATTTGTAATGTTTTGAGTGATCAGGGTGTTGCCAAATAAGAATGTAGAGTTGGCTGTTGTGAGCTCAAGCTAGCAGCTGGCTGTTAACAGGCTAACTCGTTAGCCTGTCTGCATGTTAAGTGCCCGGACATCAGTGATGCCCCGAGCTGCTTGTGTACGAATGCGCGTATTACCTGTCTATTCTTCGGAAGTGTACTTTTGGCTGCGTCTGTTCTTGACCAATGTGGGGGCATTACAATCCATTTTAACTAGCGGTGTTAGGCTCTATTAAATGAGCTAACATTGATAACTTACGTTGGCAAAACATGTCGTTCTCATATGTTAGTTAGTTCTGCATCACACTGTATTTTGTGAAAGGATTCCAAAGTTTGGACATTTTTCTTTTACATATTCTTTCCTCCTGACTCACCGCCAGAGTGCCAACTTATTTCTACACAGAGTGGTGTGAGATTAGTCTACGTGGGAAAATGATGACAGCAAAGTTTCGAAGCAGAGATATCATTTCGTTTCAGCCCAAGACAAAGACATTTTGGGGTCTGTCCTGAAAGATTCCTAGTGCATGTTAGTGAAGTTATTTGACATATTTTTTTATGGGGTGGGTCCGTATGGAGAAACTCAAAGAGGAAGAGGAAGAGGTGGAGGCGGAAAGGGGAGAGGAAACTTCAGTTAGAGTTACAGTACTTGGTGGTAGATTTTAGCAGTACCTGCGTCTACCTGTCCTGCCTGGTAGACTGAAAGATAAACGTCTGTAAAGAGAGAGAGAAGAATGGAAAGAACTAGACAGGGTCAGGGGGGAAAAGAGGAATGACGAATGTTAAAGCAGGTTAAAGTAATTACAGTTTATCTGCACAGGGGGGGAAATAAATAAATAAAAATAAGTGAGAGGACCTATCGTAGACCACCAAGTTTTGATCCAAAACGGTCCAACTAAACACACACCAGCTTATGGAGGACCTGTGCCAAGACATTAGTCTTCGTCAGGCTCATTAAACAGCACATTCCTTACTCTCCCGCTAGCTGCCTACTGTCGAAACGGACGGTGTCGTTTTAAATTAGCGTGCGAGTGAGAGACTAAGTGTGGTCTAGGGTAGGTCCCAGAGGGGAGAGACGAGAGCAGCTCAGATGAAACTCTTCTTACAGAACAGCAATCGAGCGTTTAAAAAAATATATAATAATAATAATAATCTGTCGGATTAAAAAACAGAAACTGCAGCTCAGGTTAAAAGAGTGCCAATTCAATTATCACGAGTAAATGGGAGCACACAGCAGATGTCAGTCAATTCGAGAAGCGTGCTACTCGGCAATGCGTCGCTTGATGTTATGACATCCGGTCTGCATTTCGCATCGCAAAAGGGAAACAAGGGAATGATTTCATAAAATTGTCTCCGGCTGCTTGTCTAACCGTAATCCTCATTCTCAATTTCTAACAGAGTATTAGGGCCACACAGAAAATCACAAGACAGAAAAAAAAGAGCAACACTGAAACTGTGGTGTTTCACAAAAATCTAAATGTTTCTGGGTGACTTGGACTTTTTTTCCCTTCACAACATTTAATTTAAGTCACAAAAATACAGTTTTTTTTCTTGTACGAATAAAACTTCAGTCTCATAAATATATTACTTTTTATCTTGAAAGTATATATCTTCACTTCCACATTTGGATTTTAATATCAAAAATATTTTTTTTAATCGCGGAAAGATGCACGTTTACATTGTAAAAGAAATTACCAAAAACTTTTTATTCTCATAAATTTTCATCACAGTGAGGGATCTCAGTGATATGACATTTTCTCAAAAATATACAACTTTATATTGAAAATATACAAAATTATCACAAAAAAATATCACAATGTTAATCTTAAAAATATGTGACTTTTTACCCCTGAAAATGTTTTTTTTCCACAAAAATATAAAACTTTTTAATCTTGTAAAAAAATCTTTTAAAAAACTTCTCGTAAATATGCAACTTTCTTTTTGGAATATCATGATTAATCTTGAAAATATGACATTTTTCTAAATGATATAGAAAATCTTTTCAGAATATGACTTTTTAGAAATCTCAATCTTGATAATAACTGACTTTTTATCTCGAAGATGTTTTTTTTCTCAAAAATATGGCTTTATTCTTGTAATACGCAATTTTAATCTCAAATAGAAGATAAAATTATAATAATAATAATATTCAGACAAAAATCTATGATATAATTACACAACGTTTCATACTAACAACACACAACTGCTTTGAGACTATAATTTCACACTCACAATATGATAACTAAAATCCTGAAAACATGAGTAAAAGCCTGAAAATATGCACCTTGTAGTAAAAATATGACTTTTCTTATCTTTATTTTTTTTTTCCTTTTCAATGTGACCATAATTCCTCTGTAGGCTGCATGAAAATTGAAGCAGCAGATATCTCGGTTCACAGTTGGTACAAAACACACACAAAAAAAATAATAATAATAAAAATCGCTGCATCATGGACATCGTGTTTCAGTGTCCATCCACCCATTTGCTATATCACCTGTGCATGAATGCTATTTTACAAAAGGCTGGGCTCGCACGGGACAGAACCCACCCAGGGACTTTCTTGCTCACTGCCCTATTTCATATGTGTGCTCCTCTTCAAAAAAGAAAGAAAACAAAAAAGAGGATGATTTAGAGACTCAATGATCATCTGGAAAGATGGAAGAGTTAGGTCCGTATGAATGGCAGAGTGTCGATCTGTATATAAAGCAGTGCAGCAGCGAGAAAAACGAACGAGGAAGAGAGAGCGCAAACACCCAGGATCATGTCGGGAGCATCACAAGGTCACTGGAGAGTCGCATGCAGGGTGCAGCATACACGCATGCCTGCATACCATCCCCTCGTAGAAGAGCCAGACGGAAGGGCAGGCCGGCGGGCTAGGGCGCGCTTACCTCAGACTTCTCCATCTTGTTTTGGGCGTCCACCTGAGTGATGATCTCGTTCATGTTGGTCTCCAGCACCATCCCGCCCATCACCATCTCTGCCAGAATGTTGTGAACCTGAATGCGGGACAGTCCAATAAAGCATTTTTTTTTTAAATGTAATAAACACCGTGCCACAATTAATAATCAAGTGCAGATAAATTAACATCTCATTACAAAAAAACACCCCCTTTTTTCAAACAAAGGGATATTATTGTGAATTTCCTCTAGGCATGGGTGAGTACCAGTGCCAGCCTTATTTCAAGGTATCGATTATTTATGGAGGCTGTCGACACCAGCCAGCAACGTCGAGTAAGCCCTCCTCACTCGGAGCTGGCGGTCGCCTGCTTTGATTTGAAACATTGGCAAATTATCAAGTGTTCGCAATTATCTCTCATTGTGTTAATTGAAACTGTATGCATCAAATACACAAGCGGTATCGGTACTTTGTACTACTGGTCAGTTTTCAAGAGTGAATACTTATACTACCTATCCATTTTCAACACGGCTTATCCTGAACAGGGTCGCGAGGGGTGCTGGAGCCTATTCCAAACTGACTTCAGGCGGAAGGCAGACTGCACCTTGAACTGGTCGTCAGTCAGTCGCAAGGCACATAGAGAGACAAACAACCATTTACATCCACATTCACACCGTCACTGAGTGGGAACCGCTCACAAGTTAGGCGACTGTACTGCTCCACCTTCAGCGACTCTCTACTTACACTATAGGGTCTTAAAAATAGTGATATCGAACATCACTAATTTCCTCAATTACTTTCTGACTCAATTTAACAATGACTGAACTGATTATAATGGCGGTGCCAAGGAGAAGGAATTTGATCGGTTCGTCCAAGTTGGAAATGATTGCACAACAATGGCATGGCATTTCCTACCTTGTCTACGTGGAAAATGAGGTCAAGTTCGCAGACATTCTCGAAGCATTTGTCCAGCGTTTCCACAAATACCTGAAAAGGGGGAAAAAAATGCAACTGATGGCAACATGAAAAACCAAAGACAGCAAATATGCCTTTTTTTTTTCTTTATACCTGTATTAAGTCTAAAATTCCTAGTTCACTCTCTGAGGAGTCCACGCAGAACACAAAGTACAACGTGGCATAGTGTCTGTAGATCAGCTTGTAGTCGGATCCGCCGATCAACCTGACACAGGGCAAATATGGCCAAACATCATTTGACACCAAGCGAAGCTCTACGTGGTTGCCACCGTGGGATCTTGTTGCCACTTACATTCCACCTTCCAGAAAATTGCAGACATTCTCATCTCTTTTGGAGACCAAGTGGAAGGTTTCCCTGATGATTTGTTGCTCGGTGTCTTCACTCTGTACGAGCAGCGGGGGAAACAAAAAGTGAATATCACATCACCGAGGTACTTTTTTTTTTTTTTTATTACCACCAGCAGACAATTTCATTTGTCTTCCTTATGTCATTTCAAACAAACCGAACGGCAAAGTCTGAGTCCTCCTCTGCTGTTTGCTTTTGTCATATTAAATCAAACACGCTCGCCCCGGGGCCACGTAGGCCAGGATTTCAGCTTGCTGCGCCGCAATTGAAAGCTGTTATCTTCACTTGGGAATCCTGAACAGAAGCGAGAGTTTCGGGCCAGGATCACAGTGAAAAATAAGAATCTTTCCAATGGGTCATAAATCTTGAGGCATGGAACCATGGCCCGCTGAACACCGAGCGACGTGGCTGAATTCAAACGTTCTGTTGTCAGGTCGTGCTGAATGATTTAGAAAATGAATCGAATTAGCTATTTTTTCCCCTCAATAGGTTAAGTGTATTGAAAAAAAAAAGGCAAACGAACCATAAATGAATATGAAAGAGTTTCTTGAACTTTTCATATTTTGTGAAACACTGCTATGTAAACATGTGGAGTGCACTACTCCAACACTGCACTCATTATCAAGACAATAAACAAAACCAAGAAAATATTCTGTATGGAAAATAACCTAACCAACCGACCAAAATAAAGCACATTTTCTTTTATAAAACTGCAGGGTGTGCGATTTGAACACTGCGTTTTTTTAGATTGCAATGCTGATTTGAATTACATGAACTCTTCAACTCTAGTTTTACTGACGATATTTTCACAACATCAGCGAGGACAACTCGCTTACTCATTGAAAATGATGCCCTGTTGTTTGTGGGTCAATATAAAAAAATAATAATAATTCAGTACAATACTGTTGAGGTTCCTGAAAACACTGTTTCTCGATAAGGAAACCAGAGCACTTGTGCACGTCTCGATATACTGTATTATGTTTCTGTGCAACACTCCCGCCTCCTTTTGCACTGCATTTTTGATAGGAACTAAGAATGAAAAAACACACAAATAGAACTCATGTGAGGCAGTTGACCAAAAGACAGAGAGAGAAAAGTCACGTCGTATGCACCAGCATAATTTTTGTTGCAACAGAGACTCTCCGCGATTCGCTTTTTACCCACAGTACTGACAGATAGATAGATAGATAGATAGATAGATAGATAGATAGATAGATAGATAGATAGATAAGCTTCCTACAGTAAAGAAATAAAACAATCAATTTAACATTATCTCTGTCCCCTTTCTGCCTCGTCAATTTCAGTTCAAACAAAAAAGAGGAAAAATGTTTTGCATGCTGAAGGCAAGAGTGCCTCACAAGGGCGTCTCTCAGGTCATATGACACAATCAGTCAACTGAGCAATAATGGGGCGCGCGCGCGCACTGACAAATCCGTGCGCACACGAACACACATAAGACAGTTCAGGTTGAACACGTTCTGTAATTCACGTTTAGTCGAACCAGATTGAACCGAACAAATTTTCCCCCGTGGCTCGGCTGCCGAGAGATGCAAATCCCCAGGCATCCCGTCAAAGTACAGTGTAATGTAGAGATGTAAAGTCATTCTACGAACAATGTAAACGCTTACTCACGTAATGTTCGTAGAATTTGGACAGCCTCGGCTTGCCGTGGTTATTGAATATTAAAATGGCTTTTATCATGATTGTTGCTGAGCTGGGGGGAGGAGGAGGAGGAGGAGAAGGAGGAGGCTACGGGCGGGGCGGGAGCAGAAAGGGATCAGTCCGCGTATGACTCCCGTGAACCCAAACACAGCCGAGGGATTGACGGCCAAATCCCGTCTCGATTTAAGGTTAATGTGGTGATCGCTTGGACTCGCCACGCCACTATTGCTCCATCGTCTCTTTACGGAAATGAGCGTCCACGTCAAGGAAAACGCTCCTCCCCCTCCCTCGCCGCTCCGCTACCTGCTCACTAGGGCAACCAAGAAGGGTCAAAACATATCCCGGCCGCCAAACTCTCCTTACACTCAACGGCATTGACCACTCTTCAGAAATGTTTTATGAAGTAAAAAAAGTGCTTTTTAATCGAGTACTTCTGAACAAAGTTCATTGTGAAGAAATAACATGCAAACGTCAATTACCCACGGAGGTTCTGTTCAGTCTGGGAATGCGCAGCTCTCGCAGGATACAAAATTATCCATGTCATCAACATATAATAACAGATCATCTTGTGCTCTGACACGAACTTTTAGGCCAATGTCATGTTGTATTTTGCAAAGTAGATACGTTTAGGTCAACGCCATATTGTATGTGGCAAACTTGAGCGCTTGGTGGGGATGCTTCATTTACAATATCTAAAAAAAAATACGTACTCTAACTTTTCAATGTGATTTGATTACATCTGAGTGTTTGTTTTGCATAGGATATGAATATGAACATTGTTATTTGAAATTGCTGTTTGGAATCTGATGATTATTCCCCTTGGGCTGTTCTCATCCTTATTTCATTAATGTACCCCCTGTAAAATATTTTACAGACAACTACACCCTAACCTGCCCAAAACATTTTGGTCTGAAAAGAAAGAGTTAAAACAGAGTGCTGTGCCATCAGTTTCTGATTTATTAAACTTTGGAACTCCATTTGTAGTGGAATCCGATAACTATTTGGAAAAAAAAGATCTAACTAAAAGAAAGTTAAGTTTAAGTTAATTATTAACTCCAATATGAATAAATATTTGTGAACATAAAAATACAAATCTACATTTGGGATAATACTAAGGAGCTATTCTTTATTTAAATATTGTTTAACAATGAAAGAGACACAACCTCACCAACTGGCATCACTGAATATAGCATCGTTCTACTGGAAAAAAAATGTTATTATTATTATTATTATTATTATTGCGTGAGAAATCTAGTGAGAAATTTCAGTGAAACGCTTGGGCTTCACTGAGGATCTGTCATTCTTGGTTGCAAGCAGGCAACTTCTGTGATCAAGTTGGGGGGGGTTGTATTTTTTTTTTTTTTTTTTGCATTGCTACTTTTTCGAAATATCTTAAAGTGCATATTCAAGTACCTCAAGGGTTACGAGTACCCCATTTGAGAACCACTGCCCGAGGGTATGTAAACTTATGAAGACAACTGTGTTGCCAACAGTAAAATGTTAAAGCTCCCCAACGTAAAGCTGAATGACGCAGTCAGCCACAAGGTGGAGTACAAGTACAACTAATGTTTGATGATGTGACACTTCAGAGGTGAAAAGGAAACAAAATACCAGTAGTTTATTCAATCATCCTGCGGTGTTGGTTTGACAGCAGACGAGTCACAACTCAAACGATTTGGGTTTAACCGCAAATTATGAATATGAAATGATATCAATCTTTATTGAGCCAAGGCACCTATTTTCATTCGAGAAATCACACACAGTAAATACCACACAAAAATGTCACAAAACATAGGAATACTTAACTACGGTTTTAGACTGCCCAAGTCTACCTCCAGTTTTCAACCCTGCAGAGCATGCATTTCACCTGTTCAAGAGGAGACCAACCCAAACTCTGGAAAAGCATCACACAAAAAAAAAAAGAATGCCACTGTTTGTTGATGGCAGTGGGTCACAGACTTGATGCAGTAGCCACCTAAAAATGTGACATTTCATTGTAAATGACTATTATTAATATATTGTAAGTCATATATTCCATGCAGATGTAAATACAATCATATGGAAGATAAAATGTTGATTTATTGTCTTATATTGAACGTCAAAGGAATTGGCCTCATTGTACCAACACTTTGGGTGGGGGTTTATGTAATTTCCCGGCAGGCCAGCTATTTCCAGACCGGGGTCGTCAAAAAGAAACTGAAAGGTGTTTTGCTTTCACTTTTAGCGGATACGCTGCATTCCAGAAGTTCGAAGCACAATACTTTAAACGAGTACATGCATTAAAAAACGTAAATTAGACAATAATCAATAAGAAAACAAATATCAATATTCAGTGAGGCATGCTTAGAGAACAAACGATCTAAAAAATATTGACATTACTCACTTTTTTTATCTCTCTTTTTTCCATTTTCTTTGCCAGCTCTCAATATTAAGATAATAATAAGAAAACCTTTATTAGTCTCGCAATGGAGAAATTCCCAATTCACAGCAGCAAAGTTATGAAAGGAAGAAGTAGAACAACAAAATATAGATCTTATTGTAACTAATTTCATTCCCATGATGAACCACTACAAGCACAATTTCATTCACTAATTGACACAAAGTTTTGTTTTTCCAGTTATTCTTGGGGAAGTCAAATTCCAGTTTAAATGATCATTCCAGTCGAGATGTTATGGTATTGAAAAGTAACCGAGTGATGTTGTCGGCCACAAGGTGGAGTATAACGGCTGAGGTCTGATGATGTGGCATCGCGGGTTTAAAACTGGAGAGGGGAGGGGTAGGGGCACAAAGAGCAAAATTCTGCACGTTTACATCGTTTGATAACACTTGATTCAAAACTACAACCGAACAATATTGCATTGATTTGATCTGTTATATTGACAAACAACCAGAATTCAGATTATGTTGGCCTACGGAGGAAATAGCAACAGAGACTAATGGCCTGTTTATTTAAAAAAAATGGCTCGAATTTGAACGCGCGATGTGTTTGTCGTCCACAACTCCTGAGAACATCATGATAAAATGGAGTACAGCAAGAGAGTTGATATGCCGTGACAAGATCAGTCTCTTTTTCGCTCTGCATGATTGTCCAAAATTAATCTGAGGTTGTTTTTTTTTCCTATTCCATCACCTACCCCACCAGCCTTGCAGGCCTGATGAGGCAAACAGGTTTCCGGTTGTATATTCTACAAAGAAATAGTCTTCTCAGTTTGACTGTCAGAAAGAAACAGAAAGTATAGTTTTACTTTCACAATTGGAGGATGCAAGGCTGAAAGGATGGCTCGGCTTGCCTCCCCCCCAAAAAGTATTGTTTCATTTAAAAAAAAAATACAAACATACATACATACACATTATACTGTATATATATA